TTAACTACTTTAAAGTAGTACTAGTACTATATTAAAACTTTATCCTATATAATTAAATCTGTCTAATAAATAAGGTCTATAGTAGGAAAGTTTACACGCATAAAGCAGGTAGATCTATCTTTAATATTAATAAGTATTTTAAACTAATAATAAGCAGTGCAGCTACTAGAAAGAAGAAGCACAGTAATGCTAAATAATGCTACACACAAAACAATCTTATGTTAGGTCTAAAAATAAGTGTAAATAGTCTTATATAAAAAGGTCTTTCTAGTTCTGCTAAGGCTCTAAATAAAGTAGTAACTAAATTATAGCATAGTAAAAATAGACTAAGTAATAGCATAAAAAACTTCTAGTTAGGCCTTATTTAGCTTGTTATACATATTAGTATAATTAAGATTCTGCTTTACAGTGTTATAATTAAGCTGCTTAGCAACTAATAAATTAACAGCCTTTTGCACCTAATATCTTTATAGCATAGGTATGTTAAAATTAAAAAGGTTCTTTCTAAATAACTTAAGTATAGCTTAGTTAATTAGCTATAAGCATAAATTCTTTATAAAATTAGTAATGCTAAAGGGCAACACTATTTGTTCTAAGCAGAGGGGCAGGTTGTTAAATAAATGTTAAAAGAACTTATTTTATAATACTATAAAATTACTTACATTCCTAAAGACTAGAGCCTAGAGAAAAACATAACATAACTTAAAAGTAAGTGCTAAATGCTAAAGCTTAAGAAATATATACTACTATAATTTATTTTTAACTAAAAGATTAAGAGCTAAATAGGTGTTTTTAAAAGTAAGTTAGATTTAACTATTAACTATGCAGAAATATTTAAAACTAATTACGCTTAAAATTTATATAAGAAGCATCTTAAAATAGAAACACTCCTTAGAGAAAAGACTATAGAAGTAGACATAACTAATAAAGTACTAATTATGTTAGAACTAAGTCTATTTACTACTATCTTTCCCTAGATTCTAATAATACTAGGTTAGAAAGTTCTAGTAAAAAAGATTACACTTATTTATATAAAAAGCATTATACTTTAACTATTTTATTAATAATAATCTTTTTTATTTAACTATAATCTCTACCTATTTAGCACTGTCTTTGTTATAAAAGGTAACTATATACTGTCCTAGTAAATGCACTACTAATTAAATAATAAAAGGCTTTTTTTTATAAACTTTAAACTTTATTAATTACTAAACAGCCTTAGTTAGTCTAATATAGCGCATGTTTAGATACTAGGCAACTTTATTCTTTTACTAGATACAAATAACAACCTAATTAGTGCCCTTATAGATATACTTATATATATATTTAACTAACTTTATAGAGGCATAGACCTCTATGTTAACATGTGTGTTATACTTACATAAAAGGTATAGACTATAAAGCACTACTTAGTAATTATTAACTATAATATTTTAACTATAACACTTTATAACCTAAGTTAAACTAGGTTAATGCTAATATATAAAATAACTATTTCTACTAACTAGAGTCTTATTAGCATATTCCTTTAAGAATTGCTTCTAATAGGTTGCTTAGAGAGAACGCTCTGTAGTCTGCATATAGAGCATGCTAGAATTTAAGGTTCTACATAGCTTATAAACTATAGTAGTTTTAATAATGTTACTTAAGACTTTATTTAAATCTTAAGCCTTTATAAAAAGCTTAGCTTATATAACCTAATTAATAAAGTTTAGATTAAGAAACTAATTATAGTAATTATAATATAAAAAAAGTAAAATGTAAGCATAAAGTAAACTCTACTTCTAGTACTTAATAGTATACATAATACTAGTATACTAGCTAAATACATAGTTAGTCTAGAGGTCTATAAGGAGAGAGTTAAGACGTAGCTTAAAAACGCGCGCAACTAGATCTAGCTAATTTAATAGCTAAAAGGATGTACTAATCTCCTGCTCTAACTCTAGCTATTTAGGATTAGCAGTAAAAGTAATAAATAAAGTAAGTTAACTAAGCTTTTAAATAATAGCTATAAAGTCTTAATAACACTATGTAATAAAGTAACTACTGCTAATGTAACTTAAAAAAAGAATAGTTTAAATCTTAACTAAATTAGCTTAAAAGTTGTTCTAATCTAATGCATTACACACTTCTTAATATAGATTAGCATGTAACTGTTTTTAATTTACTATAATCTACTATAACTTTCTTTATTTATACTAAGCCTAGTAGTTAATAATAAATTGCTAAAATAATAAACTATAATTAAAAAGCATAATAAGACTACTACGCTAGAGAAATAAGTAGAATTAGTAATACTTAGAATTAGTTAGAGTATTCTAGGTGTAAGACATACATAAAGTACGCAGCTGTAAACTATAGTAAAACCTAAGAGTACTCTATAAAAACATTAAAATGTAGTAGAAAGGCTAATATACTGCATGTGTATGTTTAATCTTTTAGTATAAAGACTAATAGTGTTTTAGATTAAAGCTAGGTTAGTAGTAAAAAATAAAATTTTAGTTATAATCTTTAACTAGCTTATTATAGACTAAAGTAGTAATTTTCTTAGCAACAGGCAGGTTCTCTTAATGTTAATTAGCCCTAGCCTACATAATTAACTATAGTTATAGATTAAAAGTAATTTATAATTTCTTATTTTACTTATAAGCTTACTGTAACTGCTTATGTGTAGTTTTATATATTTTAATCTAAGAATTATTATAATCTGTCTTAACTATCTATAGCAGCTGCGTAAGTATAGTTAGATTAAAACTACTATTAGCCTAATGCCCTATACACGCACTGTTAGCCTAGGCAGGATTGTAAAAGTACAGCTATGTGTAGAAAAGAACGTCCCCTTTAGCAGGCTTTAATAGGCTGTGCATATAGTACATTTTTTTTATAATCTAAAAAACTTTTATGCTTATGCTACATATACTCTAATTTGTTTATTTATAGTTAGCTAACATAAAAGCTAAGGCTATATTATATAATTAAAGATACTTCTAAAAGGATTTACTAAGTAAGTGCCTACCCTATAAAAGATAACACAGGAATAGAGGTAGATCTAGAAAAGTTAGAAAGTTAATATTACTTATTAGGCAACATATAAAGTACTAAGAAGAATCTACTTAACTCTTATTAACCTACTTTTTAGGCTAGTAAAAAGCACTATAGTTAGAATAGCTACTTATAAAATTCTATATTAAACTAAAGTTAATAAAAGTAATATAGTTTATAGTAGTAATAATATATGCCTTTAGCAAATTATCTTATAAGAGACTAGCCCTTAGTTACTCTTAATCTCTATGCATAAATAAGAATAGAGTAGGCTAATCTAGAGTGTGTTAAAAGAGTAAGAATTAAACAAGTCTTTATAAAGTTAGCTATATATTATAATAATATATACATATAGATAGTATAGAAGAAGTAAAAGTTAGCATAAAGAACTTAAAAAAGGTTAATTATATATTATAATAAATTTAAATAGATAGCGTAAAAGAAGTAAAGAAAGGCATAAAAGTCTTAAAAGGGTCTTAATATATATAAAATAATTAATTAAGCACTAGTGTTTTACTTAATGCAGTGTTACGCCTAGCATGTGCAGGTTAGCCCTAGCATAGACCTAATTAGACTGTAGTAGCGCAAGCTTAAACGCGTTTTAAGAGTTATATATTAGAGTTAACATTAGCTAATAGCTAACACGCCTAGATAGAACTAAATATAAGCGCTAAAAAATATAATAATTATAATAAAGCAACATACTGCACAGCTATGCCTATTATACTAGTAATAAAAAGCTCTAACTTTATTAGTAAAAAAGTTAGAAAAAGGTTTATAGTTATTATAGACTAGGCAGAAAGTAGGCAATAAGTCTATATAGTAATAATATAAAAAAATAACACTATATAATAAAAAAAAAAGGACAGGTTAAAAAAGAAAAGTACTAATTAAAAAAAGTTAAAGTAGATTAGAAATAAATTAACTTTAAGTAAATTAAAATCCTACCTATTAAAATAAAGTGTAGTAAGGCTTATGCTATACTAAATAAATTTATTCTTTTAAAGTTTCTAGAAGTATAACTTTTTTTAAAATAGCATTTTTATTAAGTTTAAAAAAAAACTTAATTAGGCTAAAAACTTTTAAAAAAAAATTTTACATAAAAAAAAATTTAAGCTATTTAAACTTATTATTTTAAGTAATAAAACACTTTTAAGCCTTTACCCTCTATGTAATAGTTTATAGTATGTAAATATACTTTTAATTTTAATATAATTAGTATAGCTTTATAGCTTAAAGAAAAAAGAAAATAGTTAAAAGTGTTTTATGTTAAGCTAATATTATGTTAGGTGTAATTTTAAGGCCTTTATAATTCTTTATAAAGGTTAGTAGATAATATAAAATAACCTAATACACTTATATATATTATAGATAGCTATAATATAGTAGCTTACTATAACTTATTATTATTATAAAGTAAGGTTAACTAAGGCTGTAAAAGTATTAAAGTAGATAATATCTAGTTAAAAAAGATTAGAACAGGTTAGAGTAAATATAAAGCTAAAGCCTAAAGTTGCACTACTATTTTACTTAACTAGGGGGAGATTCTCTAGAACCCTCTTTTTACCTGTAGTAGGCTTTGCTTAGAAGGTCTTAGTAAAGCTAATTACATTTAGTAAGAAAAATTACACTATAGAAGTAATTTTTACACCCTTAACTATGCAGTAGTTAATTATAATAGGAAAAAAAGAAGACTAGATTAAGTATGTAGCATAGTAGAACAATTACTTAAAGCTTAAAAATAAACAGTAACACAGCTTTTTAGTTACTAATTTTCTACTAATTAAATTAATAGCCGGCTTATATCCGGACTAATAGGAGAGAGGGCTTGGCGGTAGAGATAGTGTAATATTTGATTAGAAGCTGACCTGTGCGCTAAGCAAGATGTCTGATTATGTCATCCAAGCTTCCGAAAAGGAAGGCTAATACCTGCTCGTCGTCGCCAGGGTGTATGACTCATCCACACTTTTCTGGACTGAAGTTGAGAATACGCTACCTTCATTTCAAGGGATACTGTGAGCATCATAGAGCATTCTAAATCCGATTTAATATCGTCGCTAACATGGCTTCAGACACCAAAATGGCTGCCAATAAGGCATCAATAGGTGCGAAGACGGTCCTTCCTGTCGGTCACACACAGAAGACAGAAGACATTCTAGGAATTACAGTTACAAAGGAGGGCGACTTCTCATCATGGTATCAAGAGGTGGTTCTGAAGTCGGAGATGATTGAATACTACACTGAGATCTCAGGCTTCTTCATTATGCGCCCAAGATCAATGTTCATATGGGGCGTTATTCAAAAATGGTTGACAGAAAAGATAGAGGATATGGGTGTACAAGAAGCTAGCTTCCCTATGTTCCTATCAGAAGCATCCTTGAAGAAAGAGAAGGACCACGTTGAGGGCTTCGCTCCCGAGCTTGCATGGGTTACAAAGGCGTAAGTATTTCAAGCTTCCGCCTCTTTATTGAAGGTCTAACAGTATCAGTGGTGAAAAAGCCCTTGAAGTTCCAGTTGCAGTCCGCCCAACAAGTGAAGCAGTAATGTAAGTACTTGACGCAATGGATTAGGAGCACGATGCTCATCAAGACTAGGTATCCTTACTACGCAAAATGGATTCGAAGCCATCGCGACCTTCCCTTCCGCCTTAATCAATGGAACAGCGTCGTGCGATGGGAAGCGACGCAAACAACGCCTTTCTTACGCGCGAGAGAATTCCTCTGGCAAGAAGGCCATACGGCACACCTGACAGAAGATCTTGCGGGTGAAGAAGTTTTACACATCCTCGAACTTTACGCTGGCGTCTACGAAAAGCTGCTGGCTGTCCCAGTTGTCCGGGGTCGTAAGACTGAGAAGGAGAAGTTTGCCGGTGGTTATTACACGACCACTGTGGAAGGTTATATCCCATCAAATGGCCGTGGTGTTCAAGGTGGTACTTCACATTGTCTCGGCCAGAACTTCAGCAAGATGTTCGACATCAAAGTTGAAGATCCAACTCCTAAGACTGAGGAGAACCCAGGCCATATCTACGTCTGGCAGAACTCGTGGGGCCTATCCACACGCGTCATTGGTGTTATGGTAATGATTCATGGAGATGACAAAGGTCTTGTGCTTCCTCCACGTGTTGCGCAAGATCAAGTCATCATAATTCCTGTTGGCATCAAGAAGAGCACTACCCCCGAAGAAAAGAGGCGCCATTATGATGAGCTGCACAGCATGAAGACTGCGCTCAAGAAAACAGGTATTCGTGCCAACTATGATGTTCGGGAGGGGTACACTCCGGCATGGAAGTTTAACGATCACGAACTTAAGGGTGTGCCTCTCCGGTTAGAATATGGACCTAAGGATGCCGCTAAGAGTGTGGTAAGCTACACGCGACGAGATACTGGTGAAAAGGGTACAATTGCGATTTCCGATCTTGCTTCATCTGTTGGCGACCTCCTCGAGACTATCCAAAGCGACATGTACACCAAAGCGGAATCTGCATTCCTTTCTCATCGGAAGGTCATCACCCACTGGAACGAGGTGGTCCCAGCATTAGATGCGAAGAACGTGGTTCTCATGCCATTCTGTCTTGCAGAGAAGTGTGAGGATAAGATCAAGGACTTAACTAGTCGTGAAGATACTGCAGCTGATGGTCTAGCGGAGAAGAAGGCCCCGAGAATGGGCATGAAGAGTTTGTGCATTCCATTCGAGCAGCCTGGGGGAATTGTGAAGGGCGAGACGAAGTGTTTGAATCCAGAGTGTGGTGAGTTCGCGGAAGAATGGTGCATGTTCGGAAGGAGCTATTGAGCAAAGCAAGATAAATGTAGGTCAATAAATTATGTAGCGAGAATGAAAGGTACAGTGGCCGTGAAGATACTCCACATCCTTTAAAATGACTTCATTTGCCAGACCTTCGGTGTCTGCCACCAACGAGTCTGAAATGTTAGCTAGGTGAACCACACACAAGTGTGAAAGTAACTACGCAGATAAGGTGATCTTATTTCTGGTGGCAAGAGTATCACCTGTGCCCTACTCTCCCTCAAGAATTATTAATGGTCTCTAAATAATTTCAAAGTAATTTTACAGGTTCTTACTTAAAAGTTAGAATTAACTCATCAGCTCTTATACTAGTAAGCTTTTTACGCTTCCTTAACAGGCCCTACGCTCTTGCCTGCGTAGAATAGGCTAGAGGGTTGCTATCTAAGTTAATTTAACACGTTTAGATGGCTAGGGCTGCTCTAGCCCTCTGTTTTAGGCCTATTATTGTCCTGTTACTCTAAAAAATAAGCTAAAAGTAATATTTTTATATAAACTTGAAGCTTTAACTTACTAACGATGTTTAAGAAAAATTTATTAATATATTAAAGTTCTATAAAGTTTCTAATCTTCTATATAATTTTAGTAGGGGAAAAAGAGATCTAAGGAACGCTAAGAAATTTCCTAATTTTTGCACATAATAGATAATACTTGTCTAAGCCACTTCAACTGTGCCACGCTACCTCCCAGTTAAAATAATTACACCTGTCAGCTACTCTCCTAGGCATTTGACCGACTCCACATGCAGCGGATACTCTTCTATTTCAAGCACACGAGTTCTGTTCATTCTATCGTCATCTATCCAGCTCCTACTCTTGTATTACCAGTATGAACTTATCAGATTTACCCACGGAGATCCTGGACGGCATTCCCCACGAAGCTATCCTCGTGCGAGGATGGAAGCGTGCTCTTAACCTAAGACCTATCAATAGTATGTAGGCTACGTTTAGTCCCTAAATAAGCGCTAATTTCTTGCTGAGAGTTCTTTGTGGCGGAGGTGTTGCAAGCTATGCGTATTTATTACCTCCTAGATAATTACATCTTCTTGCACCAAGATTGCGGATCTTTCACACTTCCATATCTTACGCATCGCGTTTGGGACGAGCCGGCCAACGGCAAACCGCTATTGCTCCTCATCCGGCAGATTGCCCAACATCTGGTGCATGGGGCGAACATTACCTCAGGGAAAGAAGATGAGCACGTTCGAAAGTACATAAAGACCCTATGCTTTGCTGTCCAAACTTCTGGCCTCATGGATACTATTTCTAAAAAAAAATTGATCCGTAAAGCGTTATGCCCAACGAAGCAGAATTTTCTATACATCTCCTGGCCACCGCCGTCTGCACAAATTCGTCTTCAACTGTGACCGCTTTGATTAAGCAAGGGCAAAGGTTTTGGATATGCAGCTCTCTTTTCGGCCTGCCAGAGGACATCGCCGTAAAGCATCAACATCTTGATATGGTAAAGCTGTATCCCAAATTCCTTCGTCGAACAATTCATCCTGCCGTGTACGTGGGGAATGTCGACGCTGTAAAGCATCTCGTTGGTATCGGTATAGCTCGGCATGCGTGGGACTTTGAAGAATTGGATTTCAGGTGCTGCAGGACTAACGTCCCTCCATGCGTAATAGAAAATACAAGAGATACTTTCGCTTCAAGCGGCTGTAACTTTGCGCACACGTCAAGTTCTACTAAAACTATATATAAATAGTGTGCAATAACTATAGGTAAACATTTAGACGTTTTCAACCTGTAAATTACATTCTAATTGCCGGCTTCTCGACTGGTTTGCTGAGAGTTTTCTTTTATGGCGAAACAATCTCCATGCGCTAGAGCACCACCATTAAGCTTCCACTAATCACAATAACCATATAATGGTATTGTTAAAGCCTTAAAGCCTTCTTCTAATAATAGGAAGCCATCAATAATGCAGTGTCTACTATTGCGAGCAAATTCATGCAATGTCGCCACTGTCAGCACCTATCTCCGCACGCGTGTGAAAACAAAACCTATACTCATAACCAAGCCCCACACAACCTAAATTTCCACCTATGTCCATAGCCCACCCCATATCATGTATATCTACTCTACTACATGCAAATACATCCTCATTTTGAAGCTAGTGGCGCTGCTAGGGTTGTTGTTTCGCTGCAGCGTAGTTACGCTAAAATAGAGCTACTATAGTAGCATTAAGCGTGCGTAGGAGAAGCGATAGGTACATTGTAACATTTGGGAGCGCCAAGGTCATGAGGAACTAAATTGATGGCTAAGAATATACTAAGGGTGTATTCACGCAAAGGAGTTACGCATTGGAGTGAGCTTGGCCGCATGGTGCTAAGTTAGGCAGCATATAACTAGGGTAGGCAGCAGTGGTTGGTGATATGAGCAGGTGGTGGATTTCGGAGAGCTTAGTAACTACAAACAGAGGGCTTAGTGCGGCTGGTGTTAAAAACTTTGGGTGATACCAATCCGGTAGTTAGGCGGAATTCTAAGCAAGCCGTCCAAGATGTAGTCTTGCGGAGGGCATTAGTGATGAGAGAAGTGATGAATTATGAACTGTGAGTCGGGGTAGGCTGTGTGATATGTATCGCAGCCTGGGACGCCGGGTTCTGAGTTGATTGGACAGCTCATTGCACAGTCTTCGGGTTGGTCAGAGACACTGCACTTCACTTGGGTCTTTTCACTTAAGCTAGTTGATTGGCGGGTAACTACTCGCCATCAGTGGAAGAGTATAGCGAGGTTCTCTCGTTGGCCACCCTGCAAGAGGCTGGTGCCACCCCATCAACCAGCCCAATCAATCCAACTGGAGTGTCACAAAGTCTTTTTCACGCGCGGCTGAATTCCGCCATGCATTAATTTCTAAAATCGGATAGGGCAAAGTGGTACAGTGCGATGGAAGAATCTATAACACGCAAATGCGGATTACGACCTGCGTAGTGCAGCTGATTGCAACTTAGTAGCGAAATATGACTGAGAGTTTTGACAGGCCTGCAGAAATCCACAGTTCCATAAGTATTGCTCCCACCCCTCGAATTTTGCTAGCGTTTCCCCTTACCATACTCAAATCCTTATCTACCTAAACACCATGTCTCGAGGTGGGGGCTCGTGGACGGAATTGCCAAGGGAAACTGTCTTCCGAGAGCCGTCTATCAGGAGCACAAAAACCGCACCAGCGGCTTCCTTTATGGTTCGGGATGTTTCGTCCGATTCCATCAATAGCACATTCCTTAACCAGCTGGAAAGTGTGGAATGGCCAGCAAAACCAAGCCTTGCCGGCGACCACTTTGTCAGCATTGCAGCCTTGGACCGAACCGTGATAGAGGATCCGGAAAGCGACTTTTCATCAGCATCTGGACGCAGTGCATCGGCATCATTAGCCTCAACTCCGTTCCTCGAACCTATTTCAGACTTTGTTGTCCTACCAAGTACGCTGCCAGAGAGCCACAGGAATACGACTTATGCTTCACGGATGCATATGTCCCAGTTTCAACAAGATCAGAGCCGTTTTAAATGGGATTCATTTGTGCAGAGAATCAAAGAAGGACTCCCTAAGAAGGTCACGCATCAGAATAAGTTCTTCCAGTTGATTGATTCCGGAGGTTCAGGCTCTGTTTATGCAACTGCATTCAAGATGCACAGAGAATGCGACACGCTGGCAATCAAAGTACTACGGAACAAGAATGCGGATACCACTGTCGAACTACCCAACGAATTCCAAATTATGCGCGGTTTAAAGCACAACCATATCGTCGCTTTTGTGGGCACATTTTCCCGGAAAGGCCAATTTGCAGTGCTTATGTATCCTATGGCTATATGGAATCTTGCAGAGTATCTCAAGGATGCGTCAGAAGGGAATATTCCTCATTACGGAGAAAAACCCCACCAATGGAAAACTCTGCTGACAGCATTTGGCTGTCTCTCATCTGCAGTTAGATATCTCCACATGTCACGGAAGATCAAACATAAGGACATCAAACCAGAGAATATCCTAGTCGATAGATACGGATCTGTTCTACTAGCTGATTTCGGTATCTCGAAGCAGTATGAGAATGAAACCATAACGGGGGGTGAGACACCATTCACTAACAAGTACGCCCCGCCGGAAGTGGTAGATCAAGACAAACGCGGTCTCTCTTCAGACATATTTTCCCTCGGCTGCGTCTTCCTGGAAATGGCAACGGTCATTCTTGGAGAGAGTCTAGAGAACTTGAGTCGCGCCGTTTTTGACACCATAAATCAACAGTGTTACCGCAACTCCCCTTCTAAGGTGAACAAGTGGGGTTAACCAACTGAAAAGAGGCGCAATTCTGGAATCCCATTCTAGCTACTCGTCTGGATCCGAGAATTCCAGCTACAATTCCTCCATTGATAACAACCAAACACTCGCAGCTCAGCATTTAGACGCGATTCTTAGCATGATGTCCGGATCACCTACCGACCGGCCGTCTATCACGGCTGTTTATGAGATGTTCAAGGGTTTCGCGGACCAATGCTTGGAATGTCAAGATGCTGGTGTACGTTCCGACTCCACTCGCTTGTGCACGGCTGGACTTGTTCAGGAGCAAGAGGCCCGCTTGGAGCGAAACTGTAGTCGTAAACCCAGTTCAACGATCCAGGTTTTGCCTGCAGCACTGACAGAAGCCAGAGCCATCATCGACCAAAGCCAGTCAGCTTTTAAAGCTATAACACGCCAATGTTCCACTCGAGATAGCTTCGGGCTGAAAGACGGAGGCCACAGGTATCTTAGTAATCTGGAGACACTGAAGGCACAGCCACCAGTGGCTATGGATGAAACCGAGAATGATTACACCTCTGAGGCTGAGTCATTTTACAGCGATTCCGACATAGCAGACGACGGAAAACCAGGATCTAATGCTGAATCTGAACGCCGTATCGTACAGTTGAAGTCTATGATACAGCCCTTGCTCGACAAGAAAAGAGCAATCATTCTCTCCTTCCTCAGAAATATCGACGGCTTCACTGGTGGCTTCCGTTATTGTCACGCAGATGGTTCCTCAGGAAATCGTCGACAAGGATCCCCGATCAATGGACCTCCAGGTAAACGACGGTCTATCGAGAACCGCAAAGCACTGCCGCTTGACGGGGACGGTAATGGCGAAAGTGATGGTGAAGAAGACCCTGACGAGCGCCGTGACAGGAATAAGGACCCGAAATTCAACGGCTCGTCGCGCCTTATAGGGCCCAGAATGTTTGCTTGTCCTTTCCATCAGCGCGACCGAGACAGATACACAACTCGTGCGTGCCATTGGCCTGGGTGGGCAGAGTTTCACAGATTAAAGTGAGTCGGCATGCATGATATTCGGGTTGGGGCCATCTACTGATGTTGCACCCCCGTTAGAGAACACCTCTTCCGTGTACACAGAATTTACCGATGCCCCAGATGTCAAGAGGCATTTCCTCAGAAAGATAGTCTAAATTCACACCAGCGGCAAGCGACTGCCTGTATTCTGCGGGATAGAGTGTTCGATGATGCTTATGATTGGGGTCAAGGAATTGACGATGAACAATGCAATAATCTCAAGCCGAGACTGAGAAACGTTGACGAGGAAGAGAAATGGAGAAGATGCTACAGGATCTTGTTTCCCCGAGATGCTGAAGCAGATATGCCTTCCCCTTGTAAGTTGCCACTCTCCTTGTCCTTGGGGAAGACCCATGGCTGACTCCGTCCAGACTGCACCGATAGAAGGACTGAGTGCATCACAGATCTTTCACACCACATTTCCAGGGAAATCAGCCCTCGGCTACCACTGGAACTAGTGCCAGAGCTCCAACGCGTTATCCATGCGAGTATCGAGGAATTCGCCCATCAGTACCAGCTTGCCAGTGACAGGAACGTGGCTCAAGCTGGCTCACCTCGAGAGCCATCTCTGGTGCAGCAGCCCACTCATGAGCGCATTCGTATGGCTTCAGAACTCGGCCATATCTCGGATGCTGACCACTCAGCTTTCTCAGCTGGATTTCCAGCCAGTGACTATTACTGCAGCGAGACTACTGTAGCTTTCCAAGCGAGCAACCCAGCTAATGCAACGACTGATTCCGCTTGTTTCACAGAAACGCTAGAAGCGGAGTCGATATCAAATAATTTCGAGTGGGGTGCGGAATTCAATTGGTCTTTAAATGAGGGTGTCGATTTTCCTCTGGATCACTTCCAATCTTACCCCGACAGAGGAGATAATATGATGTATGAGGCATCGAAAGAAACCCACGATGGGTAATCGAATTACGTATTGGCCTTCCTTGGGTATTTCCGTCACCCCGCCCATTTCCAGTCAGCAGACGTGCAAGATAGCCGCTTCAAATGAGAAAGCAAATTGTTCGAGCCGCCGTCGCAGGTTTGCACGATTCTACACCCCGCCGAATTTGTGGTACGAAGGTGGCGAACTTATATTGGTTCAATTATTTATTTCATTGCTTGCAGAATACACTATTGTAACCTACTGCATTTGGTATCTTGGCAAACTGGGGATATTACGGTTTTGTAGGCGTAATATTTTGAGTATTAGGAGGAGATCAAGATGGAGAAGAGAGGAGAATATGGAGAGAGTGTCAGTATAGAAAGCGGTAGTGGAAGCTGAGATCACACACAGATCAGTTTCGTAGCAGGGCTTAAGGGACTATTATAAGAATTCAAACCCACTCTTTAAGTGCTACACTATTATGCTAAGGGACTGCCCGATCATGGCGCCCTATTGCGCCACTTTGGTAATGTTTGAGATGGATGTAGATGAATGCATTACAGTAAAATAATTCCCAGTTCTTCTAAAAGGCGACATCAAGCTATAGTTCAACTCCGCAACACTTGAAACAGCGGTCAAAGGAGTGATCACCAGCAGTGGTATCAGCATATAACTGTCGTCAGAAAATGTAGATCCGAGAAGGTCAAGCTGTTGCATCGCCACCACTAGCAGGGTAAGGTAGGGGTCCGAGCGCATTGGCCATACCTTTGTGAGCCAAAATTTCGATCAAGAAGTTTCCTATTATATCGCGGCAAATCATATACCCATGGTAGAGGTGCTCTACCAAACGTGTAAGGCAGGTGCAAAAGCACTTATTAACGAGCGGGGTAGAATTCTGTTGCTAGAGGAAGCTGGTTTCGGTAGCGGCGAGACCGCTTCACGTGCGTGCGAGCTGTGGTACTGTGGTATAATAGACCAGCTTAGGACGAGAAGCCTGTTTGAGATGGGGAGCCCCTTTTGGCATTGGAGCCAGTTAGGGAAAAGGAGTTAGTTTGATCTGACGGCAAGGTTTCTTTCCTACTTTATATATTCCCATAAATTTACTTGAGGAAGTGGCTATATTTTTAGCCATTTTAGCACCCTTCTATACAGCAACGAATCCTGACACTGCACAGAGCGAGTGGGCCCTGACCGGATATGCTGGGGATTTGAAGACTTGCTGGCTTTCTCGGTGAGGTTGATCAGACTAAAAGAATTAGGGTCATATTTAGTGATGCTTGGTTATGTTGTTTGGGTTGTGGGACAGTACGTTTTTGGATACGGCCTGAGAATTCCGTATCATAAACGTATTCGAGCTTTCAGCCTTCAAACTTCCATTCACATCCTATCAAATTCAATTGGTCGCTGAAGTACAGTAGCTCTAATGCTGAGCCACTCTTCAACTTAGTAGTACACTAACCCGACACCTGCAACTGACTAGGCTATTGTTACCAATCGATTCCTCCCAGTCTGTTTAGAGAAATGTTTGGCTTCCAACATATGGTCTGTCCGCTAAAACGATATGTCCAGGAATCTTGCCCCCTTCAAAAGGGGCGGTAATGGCTACGGTCTCTGCATCAGATGGGTATCGAGTGATATGTCCAGTGCCTGTAGTATCAAATGCAAATAACAAGCCTCCAACACCGCCGAGAACCCAAGCTTCTGCACTGTCATTGTGCGGTAGAGTCAGATGAGCGACACCTGAGAGGAAGTGGACAATTCTAAAACAAATCAATCACTGCTTCCTGGGAACAGCCTTCGTCCTCGCAAACTGAAGGCATTAGGTGGCGATTTATTTGAGAACAAGGAGCTTATTGAGAAATCTCAGTGGGAAACCATACTGTGGTACTGGGGCAGTGTGAATGCCGCCATCGTATCGCGGAGGTAAGATGGTATACGCGAAATTGGTGAAGTTTCCAATTGTTGCAACTTGAGTACCGCTAACACCAGGTACTGATGGCCTCCGGAATGGCTCAGTAAGCTGCCAACATTCGAAGGCAGAGTTGTTGTTCTTCATAACAAGCGTAGTCGCCGTCAGATAGGTGGTATTTGCGTCAGCCTGAGCTGCCGAAGAGCCGGCTACTAGCAATAGGGACGAAAGGAATGCGAATGGACGCATCATGGCAGAAATAAGCAAGGATGAAGATCAGCCTGGAAATTTGAGAGAGGGGAGCTCATATATTTCGTGCCGTTCCCCTACTCCGCTCTCCCTACGTACTAGATTCGAAGGCCGGTTGTGGCTTACTGTTCGTGCAGATCATCGGATCATTGATGCATCAGCAAGAATAACAGGGAAATTCTCGTCTAGCTTTTCCCAAATCTGGTGAGAGAGAACGAGGCTCGTTTTGCCGCCGATTTAGTAAATCAAGCTGCTCGGAGGCAAGCGGCATGTGCACTGAACAACCTTTAGGCAATCAGGAATCATGGAGAGTAAGTACCAGTGAGTAGAATCTTCGATGGCCATTTGCCTTCCTTATTTCGAGCCCTTTTTCGAACGAGGGCGGTCGTTAAGTGAAGGGAAGGATCGAGACCTCGACGTCGGCACTTCATTGAGGCTTTGGCGCGCTTAGTCAGAGTTCGAGGTCGGACGAATCTACCGCCGCCCGCATGTCGTCAAGACTTTGCTGCAAAACGCCGGCGGACCTTGCCATCAATCAATTCACACCCACGCCCTCTCCTCTGTAAAAACCTTACTCTTCCCGTGCATGGTCAAACATCAACGGCGCGGTACACCTCTCCATACCTCCCGCCCTCGTCTCCCTCCCCTTACCCGCAATGTCGACCCTCCTTCGGCGATCAGGTCATCTTGCGCGACTCTCTAGACCCTACCTCACTACTACAACACGACCGACACGCTTATTACGACGGCCAGTGCCGCCACAACAGTTTGCATTTACGCAACAGCGACTCAGAGGTTTTGCGACAAAGCCGCCCGAGGAGCCTAAGGACCAGAAGGATGGCAAGGTACCAAAGGACGAGGCGAAGCAACCACAAGTTGAGAAGCCTGTCGCAAAGAAGGAAGGAGAACTGAAGCAGGATGGACAACCAGAGGTGCAACAGCCGAGCATGTCCAAGCTCACGGCCGAGGAGGAGAAGCTACTGGACCAGCTCGCGGATTTCGTATCAATGGGAATGCCCAAGGACCAGGTCAAGCATCTGAAATCGGCTGTCGAGGACCTGAAGAAAACCGGACTGCCGGAGGAGATCCGAGAGGAAATGGAGAAACTGCGGCGAGGAGAGAAGCTAGATCTTGCCACTGCTGCAAAGCTGTCCCGTTTGACGTCGCAAATGGCCCGTAAGATGGCAGAACAGCAAATGTTCAGCCAAAACTCCGAAGAAGGGCCTCAGCAGAAGTCTGGAGCGCACGACCCGGGCCCACAGGGAAAGGACCAGAAGCAGCAGCAGAAGAGTAAGGGACCAATACCCGAGTTCAATAAGAACATGGACTGGAGTACAACGCTGATTACCGCTTTCCTTTCTTGGCTCATATATCGAATGTTTGTGCCGGCGGAGAATACCAAGGAGATAACCTGGCAAGAGTTTAGGACAACATTCCTCGACAAGGGCTTGGTGGAGAAGATTGTGATACTGAATGGCAATAAAGCCAAGGTCCATCTGCACCGGGAAGCCGTCGCATCAATGTATCCCGAATCTCCTGCAACGAGCCACAACTTCTACTACTATTTCACCATTGGGTCAGTGGAAGCGTTCGAGAGGAAAATCGATCAGGCACAGTACGAATTGGGCATCCCAAGTTCTGAGCGCATCCCTGTCGCCTACTCCAATGAAATATCCTGGTTCGCTACCTTACTCTCATTCGGCCCCACTCTTCTGCTCCTTGGATCTTTGTTCTACTTCACCAGGCGTGCTGGGAGCAGTGGTGGCGGAAATTCGGGCATATTTGGCATGGGCAGGAGTCGAGCTAAAAAATTTAACCATGAAACTGAAATCAAAGTCAAGTTTGCAGATGTCGCGGGAATGGACGAAGCCAAACAGGAGATTATGGAGTTCGTTGCCTTCCTCAAAGAGCCCGGCCGATTCCAGAAGCTGGGCGCCAAAATCCCTCGAGGTGCAATTCTTTCTGGGCCACCGGGAACCGGCAAAACACTGCTCGCCAAGGCCACAGCTGGAGAGTCTGGTGTTCCATTCTTCAGTGTAAGCGGTTCGGAATTCGTTGAGATGTTTGTTGGAGTTGGTGCATCAAGAGTACGAGATTTGTTCGCAAATGCGCGAAAAAGTACACCCTGCATCATCTTCATCGACGAAATCGATGCTATCGGACGCTCTCGAGCCAAGGGTAACTTTGGAGGTGGCAACGACGAACGAGAGGCAACTCTGAATCAGATTTTGACTGAGATGGACGGTTTCAACACTACAGAACAAGTTGTTGTACTGGCTGGTACCAATCGGCCTGACGTTCTCGACAAAGCACTCATGCGGCCTGGCCGGTTCGACAGACACATCAACATTGACCGACCAACGATGGAAGGCAGGGCGCAAATTTTCGAGGTACACCTGAAGAAGATCGTTACCAATGAGGATATGGATTTCTTGAAAGGCCGGCTCGCAGCACTAACACCTGGATTCTCAGGTGCTGACATTGCTAATTGCGTCAACGAGGCTGCTTTAATCGGTAGATATTACCCTCTCATTTTGTCTATTATTCTGCTGACTTATTTCCAGCTGCTCGCAAGCAGGCAGAAAGCGTGTCCATGGGCCATTTCGAACAGGCCATAGAACGAGTGATTGGTGGTCTAGAAAAGAAATCCTTGGTCCTTAAGCCAGAGGAGAAGAAAACCGTTGCGTATCACGAGGCCGGCCATGCTATTTGTGGCTGGTACTTCAAATACGCTGATCCGCTACTGAAGGTTTCTATCATTCCTCGTGGACAGGGTGCTCTTGGGTACGCGCAGTACCTCCCAGCAGGAGATACATACCTCATGAACGTTAACCAGCTCATGGATCGGATGGCCATGACACTTGGTGGTCGCGTCAGCGAGGAACTACACTTTGATACCGTAACTTCCGGCGCATCGGATGATTTCAGAAAGGTCACACAGATGGCCTCTGCTATGGTGACCAAGTGGGGAATGACCAAGAAGATTGGCTACATCTACTTCGAAGACGACCAGCAAAATCAGTTCCACAAGCCTTTCTCAGAGGAGACTGCCAAGAACATCGACTCGGAAGTCAAACGGATTGTCGATGAAGCATACAAACAGTGCAAAGATCTTCTGATGGAGAAGAAGCATGAGGTTGGTCTAGTTGCTGAGGAGTTGCTCAGAAAGGAGATGCTGGGGCGTGAAGATATGATAAGATTACTTGGCCCGCGACCTTTCGAAGACCCCGCCGACTTCCACAAGTACTTCGGTGGTGAACACGGAAAGGTTCCAGGGTTAGTCGAACCAAATGGCGATACAGGAGTGAAAGGTCCAGTCGTGCCACCAGCGCCTGCATTTAAAAGCTCAGACCTTGAAGCTGGGCGATGATGGTGCATGGATTAGAAGGGAAATACGTAAGCCGAAAAGGTATGGGTTGGGCATAGGTTGTTGGTGCATCTTCATCAACTCTTCTTGGCATAGTAGCTTGGGTTCGGCTACATTCATTCCACTCTTCGGATGCGAGACGTGTATTGTATCATAGAATTGTCCCGCTATTCGTCGGGCTTGTATAGTAGGCGCCTACTGTGCGCCATCAGTGCAATCCTGGTCCCTACCATAGCCGCTATAACGGTTAGATTCCTTTTTGTAATCTTCACTTGAGCTTCGCAGTCTCTCCCACATTGTGTTTGGAAGTAGGGTTGCCAGCTCCTAAGTTCTCCGCCTATCCTTACATGCCTAGTGCATATAGGGGTCCACTCCCAGCTCTCTACTCAGCAGATCAAATTGAACACTCTACTTTCAATTCGCTATCGATCAGATTGAAAGAATGTAGAAGATGTGTCTAGAAGAATGATTGGAGCATTTGAGTAGGTGATGGGGCCAACCTCGAATGGCCTTCCACCCACCGCCCTCTTGCAGTACCATTATTAATACCATTTGCATCGCCCTATGCTTGCTCTAACATTTATATGACCACCATTAGCTTCCTTAGGCTCAGAGTTACTAGGAAAATGTGGAAAAGCCACTTGAGCACAGTAGCTCCGATGCAGTGACAGGATCAGCTACTAGAGCGAACGATATTTTCAAGAGAGGAATTAAGAAAGAGTTTGCATCGAAGGAAGCCGTCTTAAGTTAAGTTCCTCAACTGTACGCAGTTCAGAGCGTGTCGTTCAAGAGCACACCACTCCCTATGGCCGACGGTCTAATGAGTTCACTTTTCAATCCACTTCCAGTTACAGGTCCCAAATGTCGAGTTAGCACGTTGGGGCATGTGAGACGGCATCCCATGAGACCTACTCTCAGTTAGTGCGTCTTTTACGTACCCATACTATGAAGGTCGCATGGTACTCATCAAGATTGGAAACTGCCCTGCAACAGCTTAGGGAGAAGAACCCTTATCGCATGAGGTTGGACCAACGGATGGACCCAGGCCAGCAACAACTCGTGAGGAAACGACTACGTGTTCCCAGATATTGCCAACCCCTTGCGAAAAGCGGGATATAGGCTACCCACCAGGTTACTTCAGCATAATCTAACAGGCGGAGATCATGAGGATTTGGGAACACTTTTCAAATGCTGAATGAGAAGCATTTGAAGTCGACAAGCTCGACCTGCTTGCATTTCACTTTCATAACTCCATTTGTGCGAGTACGGTGATTTGATGGAATGGTTACCTGAATAGGCTTTGCTCCATATTGCAGTTTTTCCTATCCCTTGGATCCTTGAAGTTTTGATCCCTTGTCCCGTTCGTTCCCCTCGCTACGGCCCTCAAACATCACCCAAAATTTGCCGAAAACGCCTGCACTATCTGCCTCTAATGCCTCCCAGGACTACCACCCTTCTACTAGCCCAATCTTAGAATACCACCACCACCACCTTCTCCTCCCGTTATCCTCCTCCGTTTAACCGACTCTCCCCAAACTCAAGCCCCCGGTGGTGTCCCCAACTCATTATCATATATCGCACTCCTCTCCACCTCCCTAACCCACTGCTTCCAAGGTTTAAATGCAATCCACCGATTCATATCCGCACAATCTTTTCTTTCCTGACTACTCAAATACTTAATCCCTCCACCCATAGCATTCGCTAACAAAATCGCCGTAGTCTGGACCCTCGCATTACTGGTCGCATAGCTCGCAAAATCCACTGCCATCTCGATACTCTCACCGGCTGTCACGAAACCGTGGCCACGTTGGAGAATAGTGGTGTGGAGTGGAGAGGTAGGGTTGGTAGTGTTTATGCCGAAGGTTTGCGCGAGGGCAGCGCCGAGGACGGGTGTGTTGATTAACATGTCGTGGGGTGTGGAAGAGGTGTAGATTGTCGAGATATCGAAGTTGGGGACAGAATCACCTGAGATTATGTGTGAGCGCGGTGATACATTAAGAAACACCGATTTGAGCTATAAACACGCTTAGGGGAGAAATATGAAGCTGGGTATGTATGTATCCTAACAGGAACAATGTTAAAAACGCACCCAAGAATCCTGCCATGTGATACGCTGGCGCTACCAATCCACCTACCCCTTCCAATACCGTATACGGCAACACATCCTCCGAATGGCTATGCACCACACTCATGACATCCGGATACCGTTTCATGACCTCCGAATGAATATACCTCTCTGCATATCCTCCCAGAGTGCCATTTACAGGACTTCCATCTTCAATTAAATACTCGCCAATATCTTTGGGGCTGGACACGACCGCGGGGCCCATTTGCAAGGCAATAAAGAAGGTGGCGTTGTTGGCGGGATTGCGGACAGATATGTGGCCCATCGCGTCGACGACGGAGTGGTAGTGTAGGATGTGGTTGGCGGTTATGAGAGTTGAAAGAGTAGTTGTTAGGTTTACCATTTTGGGATTCTCTCGGAGGGGCCGTGGGAATATGGGTATTTATTAATGTAGGATTGCTATCCCAAAGCGTGTCCAGAGGAATTTAGAGGAGTGATGGTTGCCAAGACGGCATGATGCGGAGGCGCATGGGTTCGTGGTTGTGATGGGTGATCTTGTTTGCGAAGCGGGGAAACGAGAGGGGGGTTTGAAGACATGCTTGTCGGACTGCATTTTAGATCGGCAGATGGGAGTACAGAGTTAGTGTAGGCCTTGCGACCGGTGAGGGTACAAGGGAAGGGAAGTTGGAGAAGCTCGGTAGGCGACCAGGGTATAACGGACTGGTAATAAAAGTTGTGGAAAGGAAAAGAGGAATGAAAACAATTTGGACGAAGAAAAGATGTCTTTTTAGCACTTGGTATCGAAATATCGTGATCTTAGTATATCCACAGGACCTACTAACGCCAGACTCCCCCGTGGAATGCTCATGAATAGTTGGACATATTCTCCTTGATAAGTCGAAGCTGGACTTTGGAACGTGTCAATCCTCCCGCTATCTGTCATTTAATCATCAACATCCATCGCCTCAACCCCACCACTGGTCTTCATCCTCAACTTCCTCTTCGTCTTAGTCTTCGGCAGCTCTTCCTCAAGCTCACTCTCTAGCTCACTCTCCCCAACATCCATACCCTCCTCTAGCTCCTTCCTCCTCTTTTCAACCTTCGCTTTGACCATCTCCAAATCCACCTCCATCTCCTCCTCCTCTAGCTTCTCCGCACCCCACCGCTCACTTGGTGGCAACAAATGCTGATTCTCCTCGACCAACTTCCTATCGTCTGCCCTCTGTCTCTCCTTATTTCCCCTCATCCTGGCCTTATAAAACGCCCTCTCCCTCCTCTTCCTGATCTCATTGACTCTCGAAATCGCCTTCAGCGTCGATTGCACCAGATCGCGGTTATATCGCACGGGGACATTGCGGCGCGCGGCGAATTGCAGCGTGGAGTCGACAGTGAGCTCCTTGCCATGGGCGCGACGGAAAGATTTAGTCCACGCTAGTTTGCGGGGATTGCGCTTCATTTTGAAGTTCTTGTGGCATTTTGACTTGCAGAAGCGGAAGACGCGGGCGTCATTGCGGACGAAGGTGATGCCTTTGGAGGGGTAAACAGGGGCGGAACAAAAGTAGCATGTCTATTAATATAACTTAGCAACAGCACTACGATATGTAACATGTGGGCTTCTTACCTCGATCCTCATCTTGCCGTCGTCGTCGTCTGGTCGTTGACGGTTGTGTGTGGGATAATGTGGATGACGAAGCGTTCACGATAATTTTCGACACCGCCAAGATTTCGTTGCGCACCGGCTTAACCTCGGTAGAAACTTTTCTCCGACCTCCGGGCGGGCAACAATTCACTTCTCACTCCCGCCTCTTCACCTCCATCAATCCCCACGCCCATTCATAAATACCCCCGGCTCTCTTCCACTGCAACCTGCTCAATCATCCTCGCCGCCACAATTGTTCACTACAAACAAAACCGAGAATGTCGGCCTGGGCAATAGGATTGGGTCTTGCCGCAACGGCCTTCTTCGTACGTTAATAGAATATTTGAAGGAACTAGATAGTATGCTAAAGCTAGGTATCAGGGTCGCGCAGCCCTGGTTGCGCTCCGACGATCCGGGAAAATGGGTGCTGGGGCGCTGGGGCGAAGTTATTATAAAGGCGGGTTTGAGCCGAAGATGACGAGGAGAGAGGCTGCGCTGATTTTGGAGATGCCGTACGTTATGCACATTTGCGTTTATTACCATGCTCCCGCGCATGCGGTATGAAGCGAGCTCTTGAAGGCATTGAATAGTAGGGGAAACGGCCTTCAGCTAACGGTGTGGGATTTAGGGAACGCGGCATCACTAAAGAACTCCTCCGCAAGAAACATCGCCAGCTTATGCTACTGAACCATCCTGATCGAGGAGGGAGTCCATATCTTGCGACGAAGGTAAATGAGGCGAAGGAGATGCTGGAGAAGGAGGTGAAGTGAGCGGATTTTGTCCGTGGAGCTGCTGTAAGAAGACGTGTAAATTAGATGGGATGGATCTGCTGCTTTGAGCATGGCGTTTGGTTGTTTTGGATTGTGGAAAGAGTTGTTCTGCATTGCATCTGGGTATTTTTGGTCTAGGTGGGGAGGGGAATCACCACTTGTGCTAGTAGGAGCGAGAGTATTACGAGGATAGTATGAATCCATGGCACCCTTGTTCGAAGACTATTAAAGTGTATCACCAAGTCCTGTCTACCTTTCGAAATGGATCCTTTACCTAGATCCGAGTGATAACATCAAGGCTACATATCTGATATCCAAGCCATCCTAGGACCGATGAACAACTACCTAAGAACCCGATAGAAATACTAAAGCCGATCCTCTATGATTTATACTCAACGCTTGACGACTTATGGGTGCTGTATCACATTCTCACCGCCCCCAATCTACATCGAGCACATCTCCAACCCTCATCTCATCTCAAAAAGTGTGAAATACCATTACAAATACACTCCCGACCCAACTCACAGTCGACTCCCCTCCGCAACTCTAACCACAAACCCCAACCTCGGGAAATGAATCCTAACATCCATCTCCCCCTTCTCCACCGGCCTCACCACAACCTCCTCAACCCCAATCCTCACCAACTCCCCCACTGTCGGATCATCACGCCCCGTATCATCAGGCGCCACGCTGACAACCACACCCGGTTGCAGCCCGCGTTGAAGATCTAGACTGGGGTAGTCGCCTGCGGGCGTGGGGACTAGGATATCTGTGCCGTCTTTCGTGTCAAGGAGGGGGGTTGATCTGAGTTGGTCCTTCCAATCCAGAGTGTTACCATCGACGACAGTCTCGGGGTCCGGGAGAGTGCAGATATATGCCTCAAATGCATGAAACCAGTCCCACACCCCAGGATACCTTTCCTTATTAAACACCTCCTCCGCAACATTCCCATTCACGCTCCCCTCCCCAATCCCTCCAGCCGTCAGATTGTACACGCCCTTTCCGGCCGCAATATCCACACCCCAGCGTAGCTGATAATACAAACTTAGATCCGCAAGACTTGGAGTCGCAGTCGGAATAACCCATTCGCCGCGACGTTTTAGCATGGGTTCGAGTAGCGAGAGATGGAGATCTAGATTTGAGAGATTTTCAGGGATCTTTGCACCCAGCTTCTCCGGGTCCAGTTTGTGTCCGATGAGCCCGGATCTGTCAGCGCCGAAGGCGGTGGACCAGACGGTTGAGGGGATTAGCCCGGTTGTGGTGCGGAAGAGGGGGCGCTGGCGCGTAGGGTTAGTTGGACAGGGCTGAGAATCTCGGGCGGAGGCAAATGTTTGAGGCACAGTAGAACAGAGACAGGGATCACTTACATCAACCCAAAAACTCGCAAATCCCCTCACAAGGCTCCGATACGCCCAGTCAACCCCCTTGCCCCCATCTCCTGGACCTCCCAAGCTCTTCGCCCGAGGATAGACAGTCCCAAACCCAGCATCCTCAGGGAAGTAATACTCCAGGGCCTCGATGATCAGAGAAGTATCGCAGTAGATGTCGCGGCCGATAGTTAAGACGGGTATTTTGCGGTATGTAAGGCCGAAGGTTTGGCGGAGAAGGGGACGTGGCATCATACTTGGGACCGGGATGTAGGCTGTATGGATGTCAGATTGGGTGGTAGGGGTGGGAGGTCAGGGGCTGAGGTGAGGGAATTATAGAGGGCATGGTAGGGCATGTTGGAAGACACGAGGAAGTGGGGATTGAGGGAAAATATTCTGTTATAGAGACGGAGGCGCTGGGAGCATTTTGAGCGAATTTGTCTCGGTGAATAGAGTTTTAGAAAATATGGTTTTGCTGCGGAGGAGCAACAAAGGGAACGAAGGGGGCCAAATAACAACAACAAAAAATCAGAACAACAAAATGCTCAAATATTGGTGACATACAAAACGGAATCTGCTTAATCCTCAACGCTAACCGCACTTTATTCGTGAACGGAGACGCTGCTACGCGTTAGACTTCTCGCTCGGAAATCTCTCGGAACCCTCGGGACACCCACAATCATATCCGAACAGGACGACCGGAGGCAAATTCTTCGCCATATTCTCTCTGGAGGATAAGATAGCTGACAACCGATAACTGTGATGAGGTTATGACCAACTCGATTAACAGATACGAGGATAAAAAAGAGGGAGTAAGTGATACAGGAACTATGTCAACGAAGAAGATGAGATGGCTGGGAGTCAAAGTAAATGTATGGGGAAGTGAAGCGTCCACAAGTCCCATCCCTACCCCGCGAAATTAGTTCCAAGTTTGTTGTCAAGGGCAAAAGGGCGCGAGTAGCGCCGAGCGACCTCCGATGTTTCAAGCCCGTACACCCATGGTCTAACCTTGGATTCGCGCCTTAGCCTCGAAAGTCCCGTGTTAAAGCCGAGGTATCCTTGGATATGAAGTCAGCTGGTCGACGCCCTCAGAGAGATTGTGGAGAGGCTGCATTGCTTTGCATATTTAAACTTCGTTTTTCTGCGCACCTCCATCATAAGGAAGTATCTGACTTCCAGCGCTATGGGTTTCCGACCGGTAAAGGCCACACGGTTACCAACTGCTGGGTCGGTGGCTAGAAGGAAATTCAGCAATTCGATTCATTCGTACAGCCATCCGTTCCTACCAGATACCAAATACCAAGAATACTTCAGCCGAAAGCAACAAAAAGAGATGCTACACCGGCCGTAAAAGTCGTAAAAAAACATACATATAGCGCAGCCTTCATTGCTTCCATAGTCGGTCCGGCCTTCCAACATGCTATATATACCGTTTTTAGTTGCCAGCCCCTGATCTCAGAACTATACATTTGAAATTACAGAGGTTGAGCTGAGGTGTGAGTCATGTCGTCCAAGAAAAAATCCTTCCAAAACTGCGCCGAGATGGAAAAAGCAGACCGGCCTCCATGCTGGCTGTGTGTCTCTCCCAATTCAGTTTAGGTGATAGGGATCACCCACTTTTGTGGCTATCGATGTCCATTCATACCGTGCCCATTCATTCCGTTCATGTTCATACCACTAGTTCCTTGTGCACCCTGTGAGAAGTCAGGCAATACGCCATTCATACTGATGCCATCTTCATATCCAGAGAAGCCTGTCATGTCCACCCAATCCCACTCGAGAGTCATTGGCATCTTCCACAGATCTTGTGGGACACTGTTCATGGTCTGTTCGAAGCTGCCCATCGCAAGTGGATTCATGCCGTGGCCCATCCCATTCATAGGTGTATCGCCGCCGCCCGTGGTGGGCATGTGAATTCCTGGGTTTTGGAGCATTTGGGCAGCCATAGAGGGCGAGCCGAATTGGGATATGGGATTATTGTTGGTTAGGGATGCGTGTGTAAAGTTCGGTGAAAAGGGGAAAGGCTGTCAATATTAGCTCGTTATCCTCACGCATTCACAAGGGGTGTGGCTCACCTCATTGAAGTTGCTGAAGCCGTCTGTTGAAAATGGATCAGCCGGGTTTATTGGCTGCGTTTCCGGTTGTGTTGCTTGTGGAGGTGACTGTGCTGCTCGGTATGCTGGAGTCAGAATTTCATTCGCTGTTGCTTCGATCTCTGCGTCCTGGTCGCTATCTTGTTTCCTCTTCCGCCTCGACGCATTCTCTCGGTCTGCCTTGTCAAGGACAATCTTTGCGATACGCTCGAACTCTGCACATACGCTCAACATACGCTTCACGCTACTGTTCGCTTGATCGTTGCTCAGCATGCTTAAAAAGTTGACGACCAAATTCATCAGCTTGAGATCCGATCGTGACCGTGTGTCCTGTGGGTTCTGCAGGATATTGGCGAAAAGTGTGACGAGCGCTGTGACTGGGAAGTATATGACCATCCACACGCAAGCCGAGTCACCCTTCGGGATGTACTTCAGCAGATGGATGGAAGCGCGGGCGGCTTGGACACACAGCTGGGCGGACATGAACACCCTCGGGTTCAGAGGTCGAGCATTCAGACCTTGAATAGCGAAATTTGAAAGTCGGCTCGTCCAGTACCCATGATGAACGCTCATTCGGTGAATAGTGGTCAAGCAGTTGTAGTATCCGAAATGCAGGACAACGACATGGAGTATAAGGGGGGTATGTGAAGCCTTGATTTCATGCTCGGGGCGGAAGTCCAAAGGAATGCTGTCCTTCCAGTTCTCCAATTCTTTGTCGAGCTCGCCAATGGTGTTAAGGAGTTCGCCGTCCGATTGTTTGGACGCTTTCACAGAGTAAAGTCGCTTGTACACCTTGCTCTCGATGAGGGCGAAAGTGCACATGAGTCGGAAGAGATTCAATTTCCCCTTCCCGTCTGAGAGTGGAATGTTGCCAATATTGTCGGGAGGGTCCTCGCTTGGAAGCTCGACGTTTATGTCATCATCGTCTTGGACAGGGGGACGGCCAGAGCGAAGGCAAATACTAGATCATTGTCAGCAAGCACTCTCATCAAACTGTGTTCCAGGCTGCTCACTCTCTGTCAAGCATGTACGCGATCCAGAAGACACGCTTCCTCTGCTCGATCTCGGAGCTATTCAAATTGAAAGCAGCGCCTCGCTTGTGCAAGCCGATGCTGTGGGAAAGGCGAATTGCGGCTGCGACAAAGAAGTAAGTTGGCTGGGGGTTCGGCGTTCCGAGCAGGAAGAGGGCCTAGAGCGTGTTAGTCACGTGAATTTAGTAGGCGATTCGGGCACTTACAATGCCGAGAAGGGCTTGCACACTGAGTAGGTCGGTGTTTCGCATGGTGAGTTCCACTTGAACAGCCATAGCGTTCTTTAGATACTGCCAGGCCTTCTCATCCTCCTCCTGAGGCACGAGATTGCTCATGACACGCAGACGATGTCCGAGGGCAAGTGCAACGTTCAAACTAGCCCACCAACCTGAGCCTTCATACGGATCCTTGGAGTAGTGTTTTTCTACCAGGTGCATGAAGGTTGGCTCATGGAAGAGGGGAAACATGCAATTGAAATTCTCGAAAAAATCCTTCAGCAGTGACAAAGCCTCAGGTTTGGGCGGCAGTTGCCGGTAAACTCGCCGTTTGAAGATGTCCTGGAAGACATCGGGCTTCCATTGGACCCATTTGTTGTCCTCTATAGCGGCAGTGGAGATCATGCTCTGGAACGAGTTGTCTCCAGTCTTGTCGTTGACCCATTGTATGCCCTTGGGAGAGAAGATGGAGAAGCCAGACGAAGAGCCTGGAAATGCAATCAGCGCAAGAATGCCAACATGAATTGTGGAGTGGCCTACCAATATATCGCGTCTCTCCGCAGTTATTAGTGACCAACGAGCACATCATCTCAGCCAATGCATCCTCCTCTTTATCCTCGCCCTGAGTCTGCTGTGGCTCTGGCGACGTCGTGCCACTACGGGGACTCGGCAGGCCCGGCAGCATGGGAGTAGCCCTCTGCGCTCCCAGTCCCGATGATGGCGTCTGGCCATCCGAAGCTCGATTGCCGGGGGTTCCCGCAGATGCCGTCCTATCCGCCAACCTCTTCTCCAGCGTGGCAAGATCAGTGCTGCCATCGTCATCTTCAGGCAGGACGCCCGACAGCCTCATCAGAGACTCCATTCGGGCGAGGCGGTTCTCCAGTCCCTCGATGTATTTCGCCCTAACTATTGGTCAGAAATATTGCGAGGATTTTTGGGGGGGGGGGGGAGGTGTGAGGGTGAGATGAGGGAAGTCTGACCCTTTGGGAGGCTGCCTCTTCTTCTCGACCTGTGTGAAGATGCATTCTGTCTTGTAGTTCTGGCAGTGGGTGCATGCGGGCATTTTGCCATCGCATTTGATCTTTTTCTTGCGGCACATATCGCATGCCTGGGACCTGTCAGCACTGTACTACCATCCAACATCGGATATATAAAATGCTTACCCGCGCAATTCGCCGCCGCTTCGGGTCGCCCTGGTCATGCCCATCGTCGTAGTCGTCGGTGAATATTGGGCCAGGCAGCGAGGCCGGAATGGGCGAGCCATTGGCCGTCAGGTTACCAAAGATGCGCGGCGGTTGGTTCGTCAGCGGCGGCGCGGGGACATAGAAGCCGCCGTTCGAGTTGTGGTCCATTGCAGAGTGCGGTATATGGAGGACGCGGAGGGTATGTGCGTGGTCAATCGCTGGCTGGGCAGGCTCACGGGGCGGGAGGTTTGGTGTTTTGTGATCAAGAATGTCGTCGGAGAGTTTTGGAGGGGCTCCCTAGTGCAGTGGAAGTCGCGGAGCACCTGAAACGCAGCCGAGTATGGATGCGGGCACACTGGCAGGGCCCTGGGTCTTCACGTCGCAGAGTGTGGAATGGTCGAATAGACGGTCCGGCGTCGAGGCAGGAGGGTGTTTGGAGTGCTGGTGCATGTGCGGGAAAGGATAGCAGCAGCGACGCGAGTGCCGAGACCAGCTGTTTGAAGCTCTGGCTGGTCTACGGGGTGCAGCTGGGGGGGGGAGAGGGCGCGCCTTACTCGTCCACTACTCGTCCGAAGCCTCCGGCACGCTTCTCCACACGAATCTTTTTGGTTGAAGTGTAGGTAAGGCCAGCTAAAAGCGGACAGGCTGGGTCAGCAGCCGTCACGTTGCTCTAGAGCGCTCGCTTGCTCCAGGGCAGGCTGTGTGTCGCAGGTGTCGTACCGACCCGAGGCACCGCGGTGAGTGAAGTCATCGAACAACACCACACCACCAGACCGACAAAGATAATAAGTAGTCCACGGCTGCCTGTGACCACACTCTCTCATTCTCCGGCCCTGAGCCCACGGTGCAAATCAGCGCCCATGTTAAGCGCTCTGCTCAATCCCCCGCCTCAAAATAGTACGTCGAGCCTCCTCCCTTCCCCCCTCGCCCCTCCATCCCTCTTTTAGCACCGCGCCCAGCACTCCCCGTTTGAAACCGGGATACTCCAGGGTGCGCCGCTGTGGCACCATCCTATAGCATGTTGCGTAATGTGGCATGGCTAAGCCACCGAGTCGCATCCTCACCATCCACCTCAACAAACCAGCGAGCTGGTTGACTGGCTCCTACGACGATGCACCACGCTTCATCCCGCCGCATCCCGCTGCATCCCGCTGCATTGACTGCAAGGTCTGCAGCACTCCTGCTAACATGCCTACTTCCAGTTTGAGCTCCCTGAAGGACTTCTATCTATTATGGCCGAGTCACGCCCGATGACGGCCGTCGAGCTCGTCGAGCACCCAGAGTACAACCACACTATCTGGCCCCTCCAACCCACGCAAAAGGGCAAGTTCGCTGTCGCAAAGGGCAGGGGCGGACCGATAAACATCGCCTACGAGGTCCACGGCCATGGCGACCGTCATTTAGTCGTAAGTGACAGAGATTGCTATTCTACCCCCCCCCCAAGTTTCCAAAATTAGGGGGATCCAACGCTTTCGCCATCCAAAAAAGGCACACTGCACTTCAACATTTGTCATTCATCGAGAGCTTTGGGCCACGGCTTGCACCACCACCACCACCCCCCCACCCCCTCCCCTGACCAATTGCTTTTTGCCGTTCACTTTTCGTTTCGTTTCAGTCGCATAGGGCGTCTCAACCCTGGCTGCCTTCCTCGTCTCACGTTCCATTGCTTGTTCCACAGTCTCTTTCGACTTCATCGTTCTGGATTCAGGAACAATGTTCCCCGGTATCTCCGGGCCTCCGTGCTGAATAATCGCCTATTTCGTTCGTTGTCCTATATGCCATGATGGATGCTAAAATTACTTGTTCCTATCTTGTAGTTCCTTATGGGCCTGGGTGGCATGAAATATGCATGGCAGCGACAGACCAAAGACTTCGCCCACACCAAAGGGGACCATTATTCGTCACTGGTCTTCGACAACCGTGGCATCGGCGAATCAGATAAACCACTGATGCGATACACGACTTCCGAAATGGCCAAAGATACCCTCGAATTGATCGACCATATCGGATGGACTGGTATACGAGAGTTGCATGTCATTGGCGTCAGCTTGGGGGGCATGATCGCACAAGAGCTAGTACGTGACCTTATTCAAATATTCTTATCTCCAACCCAGGAATCTCCATCCCATAGTGCTTCACCTTCTCGAATCATTCTCAAGTAAGCGGTGTTCGGATGCGGGCCTTCCGTGGAAACATTGATGCCTTTCTCAGGCAGAACGCCAAGGGCATCATCCTGTGCCGCCAAGCAACTCCTGCAATTTCAAATCGCCTTGGTCTAGTCCTGTTCTTCCGCTCCGCTCCACCCTGTTCTCTTGTCGTTCGTCTTGTGTCACCTTCCGCGCTTGGCGTTTAGAGGCATACGAATGTCTCGGCCGGCGCACAATCCTTCCGCTAGATTGGCAATAGTTGCGAATCGCCTTATGTTAACGGGGATTATAGGCGATGCTCATACCAGAACGGATTTGCACTCTATCGCTAGTCTCAACGGCCTCAGGTCTTTTTAACACAATTGTAAGCCTGCAATCTCCCATCTCGTTCCTTGTCTATTGTATTCTAGTAGTTTCCGCCCTCGCTGCCAACATTCGATGTGATACGGTCCTATATGCATGGTTTCCAAGTTTGCTAGGCATACATTTTACCCGGTCCCTGGCGCTTCGTTCCAATACCCCGAAATTTTCCAAATTCTACTCTTCGACATATCACCCCTTCCCTTTCATTACCGTACAGTCACCCATACCAACCCCGATTAACCCCAGCAGGGCTTCCTCGAAAACTTGCGCAATCGTGCAAACCTTTTTATCCCCAAACCCCTCGACACCCAAATAATCAACGTAAAACGCAACCTCTACACGTCCACCTGGCTCTTATCCCCCGATGAACTCGCACCCGAATCCACCGTCCAAGCCTTCCCGACAAACGGCGACCGCTTCGCCGCAAATGAAATCTGGAAACGCTCTTCACCTGAGTATTTCCAGAAAAAAGGGTTCATGCTACAAGCGATAGCTGCGGGATGGCACTACAAGAGTCCTGCCGATTTAAAAACGCTAGCAGAGAGCGTGGGCAGGAGGAGGATTATGGTGGTACATGGGGGACAGGATCGCATGATTACGTTCCCGCATGGGGTTGTGTTGTGGAGAGGCCTAGAGAAGGGAGAAGGGAAGACGGGGAAGGAGTATATGGGTATGGAACAGGAGGAGGATGTGTATGTTGAGGGAGAGGTCGAGAAGCATTTTGTCAAGGAGCAGGGACATGTCATTCCCATTGAGATGAGGAAGGTCTTTGGGGCTTGGTTGGAGAATCTGGTTGAGAGGGGGGAGAAGCTTAATGCTGATGAAGGAGTTGCAAGGTAATGCTACTGAATGTTGACTCAGGTTAATGCTTCTGCAATCGGTGGGGTTATTTCTGCGGTGACAGCAGCATCAGCATTTCTTCCTCTCTTCACCAATATACATGAGGGAATGAAGAAGATAATATATTAATACAAATCGGCGCCGAGTTCCTTTCTTACTCGTTTCCCATGCCTTCCTCTATCAATCTTCCTAGGACCTTGGCGCTTCCAGCCCAGTTGTTCGGTGGGATTTGGAGACAGAGCATTCGCAATATCGAGCATCATTGAAAGTGATGTATCATACCTAGGAAGGGAAGCGGCGATAGGCGGTTGTTGTGGGAGCCCTTCAACCAGTGAGGCGGACCAGGTGGATATCTGGCGCTGGGAACAAAGCTGTATTAGGTAGTTGTTGTTAAGTGCCTGCATTTGGAGAGGAGGACTAGGTGAGAATTGTACCCATTAGTTCCATTGATCTCTCCCGTCGGGCACGGTTTGCTGAGTTGAGCTTAATCTAGTTAATTCGCCCATTGGAGACTAGGTTGAGAATGCCTGGATTCCCATGACTGGATAAACTTGATATGGCTGCGGCGAAAGAGGATATCTATATATAATTTGACATATAGACTATCGGTGAGCTGCTAGCACCCGCAGTTCAATTTTGTCATGCACAAGCTGTTCCTGAACCGGCTTGGGGACAGCGGCTCAGTAATTACCAGGTTGCGGGGAGTCTTCATAGCGCGGGTAGTTTTCAGGGTGCTGTAGATGGTAGTCTTGGTATGGGTGTTTGTCAAGTTGCGGATTTTTCTCATGGCGCGGAAAGTCGTTAGTGTGCAGATGGTTGTTGATTTGCACTTGTAGCTTCCCACCATCTCTTCTGGTGAATACCCCAGTCTCCCTTGAAGTGCGGAGGCAACAAAATGCGGGCAATTGTTGACTGAAATCTGTGAGTTTTGCACCGCTTGATACAATTATGTCCTATTCAACTGCTGTTCCGTTCTGAGTTAGCAGCTTTGAGGTTTCGTCTCGCTTGCTTGGAAACTCGTCGTTTTCCTCGGGTTCTTGCTCAAGTGGAGCCTCTGCGTAGCTGAAACTGTTTTGGACTCAGATGCATCAGAGATTCACCTTGGGATGCTTGAAGAGACCTCTTTAGTATGTTACGGTCATTCCATTATCCTTATCCTTCCAAGTAGCTGATCAGACAGCAGCCGTGTTTACAGCACCTTGAGTATCTATATTTAGTCGTGTTCTGTCCCATGAAGGGTGTGATCGTCCCATTGCCCGGCTGTGTTCTTCGGGTTCGCAGGAGGTCGTCGAGCGATGACACCCTCGCCACTATCTAAATCCTAACTGGCAATGGACTGTGCCAAAAGGCTCTGCACCTTACCTTGAACCTCTTAGCTGAGAATTTATGGATCAAATTTGGCATTGACACGCCGTTCGTGGCCTCACACGACATGAACTCCTCATATCTAGAATAGGTAGGTCGTCCCTTTTAAGCCCCAGCCCTTCAATTACTGTATCTAGCTGACGCTTAGTTCACCCGGCTAGTCCCTCTTCGCCTTGTGTTCCCGGATGGCCCTATCCCTACTGTTGATGTGGTTCGATTTTATCCTGCAAAGTTTGGCAACGCGCATACCATGAGGATGACCAGAGCAAGAACCAATATTCCTAGTAAAGTCCCTAGAACTCCATCTAGCGGTCTAGAGAATGATATGCCAGCTAAGCATGGTGTTAAATCTAGTACAGCAGAAATCTATCTTAGTGCTGCAACTAAAATCGCGGCGGTGCATTTCTGTCTTGTCTGCATATTAAAACTTTGTATTTAGTTGTTCTCGCACACTTGATCTGAACTGGAAGGAAAAGGAACAGCCTTGCCCTCTGAGGATTGTATGGGCCAATAGGTCTGAACTGGTACTGAAGTCCTTTGGGAGTACATTTTAGACAGCCCGGTGGATGTTACGATCAGTAGTCCGCATCAAGGGCGGGGAAGCAACACCTATGCCACATATGCCTGCATCTCTTGGATACTTACTCTGTCACGGCTTCTAGCCTTTAAGGGCTCTAAACACTAATCTTCTCCACTTCATCGCTTAGAAACGAATCTCGCAGGCTTCAGTTTTAACTTTAACCGCTGTGTAGAATACTTACTAGGCTATATATTCTAATTCTTTTTTATATCTAGTTAAATTTTAAAATAATGTAGCTATTTAATGCTAATAGTATAATCTTATAAGCTAAAGTTTATAATTATAAAGAGGCAGTTTTAGATGCTTCTACTATTAATTTACATGTGCAGGTAGATATACTAGTAGACAGAAACTTAGATTTAGTTTTAAAAACTCTTAACTATAACTTTAAAAGGTAAACATTAAATAGGGCTATAAAGGCATTAAAATAAAGACTTAGTAGTTGTTAAGTTAATAAATATAAAACTATATGCACTAGTATTAACTAGAGGATTTAATTAGACTCTAATGCCTTTTAAGTATAAAATAGTAAGAACTTAAAAATGTTTTCTTTTAAATAAGTGTAATAAGTTAATATTTACTAAGTTATACTTATTTAAGCCTAGAATAAAAAGTTTCTTTAGGCGTTTTTATTTTCTATTTAAAAAAAGTCTAGCTTATAATTATTGTCGCGTATACAGAGAGCCTTGGCTGGGGCTCGGAGCCTGGGACTAGGGCTCAGAGCCTGGGACGCAGCTCGGGATCTGGAGATATTATGTTCCGAAGCTTAGTGTATATAAGGAGAGCCTTTAGCTCTTTTAGATAGAGGAGTTACTTTATCTAATCTTCTAAACAGCTACTGCTAGGCTATTTTATCCTCTACAGTTATAGGCCTAGCGCTTTAAGAACCTAAGATAATTCTCTTTATATAACTATAACACTAGCAAAAGCTATTTAAAAGCTTTATTTTTTATTCTTACTTATTTTTATTACCTCTAAAGCCTATGTTATAGCTAATTAAGATGCTCCTCTCCTAATAAGAGTGTACTAGCTTAAGGACTATATAAGCTAGTCTCTCTAGTTTATCTAGCTCTAGTTCTATGCTCTTAGCAAAAACCTATAGGACATAATTAATCTAGATAGACTAGACGCTCTAAATCCTATAGACAGCGCTCTAGAAATGCCTACACTTAAAGTAATTACTACTAAAAACTTTTTAAAAAAGGCTAACATACAGTACTAAACTAATATTACTAAGTACTAAGCTTACTTAAGCAACTAGGCTTTTTATGTAACACATTTTTAAATAATTTAAAACTAAGTTAATGTAACTATTACACTAAAGCTTTTTAGACTTATAATAATATAGCTTATATTAAAAAACTAATCTACTTTATAAGTACTTATATAAGCCTTAAAATAAAAGCTAGCACTAATAAACATAAGCATAAAAAATTTTATATAAGTAAAGTATAAAGCTTACTTTACTAAAGTAAAGTATAGCACTATAACTTTAAAAGCTTAGTACTAGCAGGAGCACTTCTTATATACTAAGGTAAAGACTTATAAGATTCTTAATATAAAAGGCTAGCTAGCTGCATAAGACTTCTTAGACACCTTAGCTTTAAAGCTTACACTAGACTAGGCGCGCTTTATGTACTAAAAAGTTATAAAAGCTAGCACACTTAGTAAAAAACCTCTAATAATTTAGAAAATTAGTAAGATTTTTTTTTAATAATGCTTTAAAAGCACTTTTTATATATAAGTAACTAAGGCAAAAGTATATTTATAACACTTAGTAAATAATTAGATAATAATTTAGCTTAATCTATTTTAGCTTAATTAGGCTACTTATGCTTATGTAGAGCTTTAAAGTAATTCTATTATCTATAAAAAGCAGCAGACTATGAAGACCTTATATTAGTAGTTACTAAAAAGCTAAAAAAGCTTAGTAAAACTGCACACTAGAAGATCTTTAAAAGGCTTAAGTAAGCGCAGCATAAAAAAGTAAAAGCTGTACTACTTAAAAAAGGCTATATAATTCTAGATAAAGCTTTTTTTACTCTAAAAGCTATTAAAAAATTAAATAAACTTGCATTTTTAAAAAGTATTATTACTACTTTTATTAACCTAGCGCTTTTAGTAAAACTAAAAATGCATATAACTATAAATTTTAACACTTACTTACTTTTTATAAGTATAATTCTAAATAATAAAAGTGCTATATACTTAGTAAATAGTATAAAGCTACTTATACTTAAGTTATTTAAAAAAGCTTAAAGTTTACATATAGTAAAAACCAGCACTTAGTTATTCTTAATTTAAAAAATAAAAACTAAAAAGCTTAAAAAAGTGTTAAATAAAGCATAAAAAAGCGCATAGAAGATCTTATACTATAAAAAGTAGTTATAGTAAAAAGATTTTATGTTAATATTATTTTAAAAGCTTATTTAAAAGAAAAAAGACTATAGTATTTAAAACTTAACTATACACAACGCATAAGCACACTAGAAAAAAAAAGTACTTAGAACACTTTACTTAAAACATAACTTTATGTTTATTAAATATAAAGCTTTTTTTTTTACTTACTAGTATAAAGTATACTTTTAAATTACTAACACTTATAAACTATATTTCTATGCTTAGACTTAGAAAAGCTTTAGTATGTGCATATAGAACACTTAGGCTTTAAAGCTTTATAAGCTTTAGTTAAAAGCATAAAGAATGTATAAATAATAAGTATAAAGTAAGTACACTATAAGCACTACATAATAACTTATGCTAAGTAGGTTATATTAAGAAGACTAAAAAAGTAAGCTCTCTACTTATTTTAAAAAGTTGCATAAGATATGTTTAATATGCTATTAAAGTGCAGTAAAGCTTTATAAATAATAATTATTAAAAATAAATATAGTAGTAAAATTTTTTTATACTTTTTTTAAGCAAAAACGCTTTTAAAAATTTAAAAAGTAATAAAAAACTTTAAAAGCATAGTGTTTAATTAATATAAGCTTTAGATTAGTAAAATATAGTAAAATAATAATACTACTATACTTTTTTAGTATAAAAAGTTAAAGTATAAGCTTTAAGTAAAATTTTTTAGCATTAATATTAAAAGCTTTTTACTATACACTTATAAGCTAAATAAAGCTATAGAAAGAGCTAAATAAAAAATAATTATAAAGTTTATTAAAATAAAAAGTAGTGTAAGACTCTTTAAGAAGCTCTAGCTAAAAGTAGTAGACATAGTAATATAGCTGTATAATATAAGCCTATTACACACATATAACTTATGCTTACTAAATAAAGTCTTAGACATATAGTTTACTAACTACTTTAAATACAATAAGCTAAAGTAAGTAAAAAGTGCTACAGCTAATTTAAGGCCTAATTAAAGTAGAATATACACATATAGCTACTACACTTACCTACTTAATAAGAAGTAAGCAGCTAGGTGTTAACGTACTTTATAGGCGAGTTGCTTACACACCTAAGTTGCTTACTTTTGCTAAGACCCCACCCTAACAAACTCTATTATAGCCTATAACAACCTGCTCTAGCACTATATAGTACAGTACAGCCTAGAATATTATTTAGATACTACTTCTACTTCTTACTTACACATTTGCGTGTTATGCCTAGTCTAATTGCACTATCTGCAGCGCCTTTAGAATAGCTTACCTACTTTAGCTTACACCTGCTTCTTTGCTTTCTTTTTATTACTACGCGCCCTAAACTCCTTTAAAGCTGTTAAGTGTAAGCTTTTTTAAATTATTAAAGTTTTTTTTACTTTAATTTACTTTTTTTATGTAATTTATATTATGTAGCAGCTTTATTAGCTGCTTAAAGCTTAGTAATTTTTTATTACACTAACACTAGCTTATACATAATTATTACTGCCCTCTTTAAAACTTTTTTAAACACCTTAACTATAGAAGTTAGTAAACTATTTATATACTTTTAAATTTTTATTTTTATAAGCATTAATTATAACTTAAGTTCTAAAGTATTACTTAAAGTTTACAACTACTAGAGCTTGTTATATATAAGTAGTAGTAGTAATAAAGTGCATAACTTTACATTAAGGCTTATTATAACTTATTATAAGTTAAAAAAAACTAATTTAGCGCTTTAAAACTTTTTTTAAATATTACTAAAAGTAATTATAGTATTATAGGCTACTTTAAAGCATAGTAAGAACTTTATTTTTATAATATAAGTAATCTAGTTATGTATAAGGTTTTTAGCTTAGCGCTTATACACTTTTTTTAAAAGAGTAAAATAACCTACATTAAGTAGCTATAAAAAGTGTAATAAGTAAAAAAGTATATAAATAGTAATAATCTTATTATCTTTATAGTATTATAAAAAATAAAGTAAGTTATAGCTCTTATAGCTATTAATAACTAGCAGACAGTAGCTGCTAATAGTACACTTTTTTATATGCGCGTTAAAGTGCTTTAACTAGTCTAGACTAAGCTAATTAGTAGTCTAGCTGTACTTAAAAATTATAATAACTTAATTTTAAAGTAAATTTTTCTTTTTATACTAGTTTAAAAAGTAGTTGCTACTTTAAAAGATAATAAAAAGTAAAATAGCTTACCTTTTAGCATTAATGCCTTAGATAGCTGTTATCTACTTCTAGTTACCTAGCTAGACTGCTTTTAGCTGTCCTTATCTCTCTAAACTTATAACAACTACTTTAGTAGATATTTAGCTTATTATAAACTTTATTTTATTAAAGTTATATGTGTTATTATTTTAGATACTATACTTAGCTTTAATATTCTTTATAAAGTTAAACTAGCTTTAAATTACTATAAGATTTTTATAAAAAGCTTTTTTATAGTTATACTTACACTTAAACTTTACTTTAAGCTTTAAGTAACACTTAATAAATATATTAGGCTAGTTTATGCTAACATAGCCTATATTATACTTAGCGTGTAAAGAATTAGCTATATTAGCTATAGCTGCTAGCTAAGAGGGAAATCCTTACACATCTAGCTTAAGTATGTGCTAAATAATTA